ATGCCAATGTGCATTGGCTCGTTTAGTTTACACTCGAAGTAGATTGGTCCCTCTAAGCGAGATCCCAATTTCGTCGGTCATCCGACGTGACGTCTCCGTTCCCTCCTTCAGGGAACGAGGGTTACCATACGTAACCGAGACGTTATATGGTAACAACATGAACTGCTCATATTTCACCCTAAAATTAAGATTAAAATTAAAACTAAAATTCAAATTAATGTTAAAAATTAAAATAAATGTATAAAAATGCTTTTAAAACTAAAATTCAAATTAATATAAAAAAAATAAATGTATAAATAAATTCATAAATAAATAGATAAAATATATACAGTATATACTTATATGCATGTAAATTGCATGTAATTTTCATGATTTTTAAAATCTGTTTAGTCATATAAATTACATTATATAATAAATAATATATATAATGATTATATAAAATATAAAAATGTAATATATATGTATATTAAATAGTTTTTTAAATATATATTTATATAAATGCCTCTCAATTACTTTAATATGAGAAAAATTTTCATATTCTCATTATTCTTTCAAATTCTCATCGCTGTAAAAAATTATAACATTGTATAAATATTATAATTAATATAGGTTACATCATGGTAGTATGCCTTTAATTTATACGGAAAAAAATTTATATCATGACTAATATACTATGGAAATGGATGCAATTTTATAAAAAAGATGATAATAAATTATAATGAGTTATTAAACAATTATAATAAAATGATGAGGATATAATAAAATGTAAATGGTATTTTCATGTTTGTAGTATTTGTTTTACTGCCTTTAATTTATACTCATGTAAATAAAGTTTTTTACACAAATACAGTAAAAACATGTTACATACAGTATTTAGAATCAACATTATGCTAATGATGATTGAAATGGACTTCATTTTCTTTATGTAAAATATGATTTCTTTTTATTTAGTGGTAAATCAGATGTGTTTTGGTGAAATTCAGCCGTACGTGTTTGAGTTACATCTCATTAGGAAAGAAAATGACTTGGTTTTTGCGTAAAGACAAGCCTGTGGGGGGTTAATGGAGACCATCTAAATGCAGATTTAAGCTTTCATGACTTATATCATTATTCACACGCTGGGATATACACTCATCCCCAAATCCACATGGAATGAAGAACTGCAATTGATTGTCTATGCATTTACCATTACAGATGTTCAGGTAGCAGCAGAGAGCGTGGATTGGGGGAGATTAGATTGAATGTTCATCTTACTGTGCACTTAAAGCAATATTCCAGGTTATTTACATTTGCATATCTGTGGACGGCATCTGCGTGTAAAAGCCAGCGGGAAATGGGTTTACAGTAATGCACTTACAAGGCAAGTTCATCGCAAATAAATGTTTAACCGAGAGACTGCTGTGATAGAATCTCTGTCAGATTTTTTAAATAAGTCACCAAGGCTGCATTTATTTCATCAAAAATACAGTAAAAACTGTGAAATATTATTACAGCTTAAACGAAATAGAAATCTTTTGTAACATTCTAAATGTCTTTAATGTCACTTTTGATCAATTTAATGCTTCCTTGCTGAATAAAAGTATACATTTTTACTAATCTCAAATTTTAAACAATAGTGTACATCTTTAACTTGTTTCACTTGGCATCTTTAATAAAAACACAAGCTTCAGATTTTAAACACTCTTTGCACGAAAAATTTCTGTTACTGTAAATACAATTTCAATGTTTTTTTACAGGCTGGATAATGAAAGAGGTTGAAATGATTGTCTGGTGACTGAAAACATGCCGACTGCTGTCCATACTTGAGTTATAAATAACCTGGAGTGTAAACTATAACGTGTTATTTTCCAGTAATTGACTGAATAATGATGTTGCATGTTCAAATAGCTGTTTTCTTTGGTTTAATTGATTAATTTAATTGAGTTCTGCATGATACTTTAAAATGTACATTTGTACATTTTGCAATTATGCATTTAACATATGCACTTAGCTTTTAGACAACAAAGACTTGACTGTGTTCTTACTGTATTTACTGTACAGTGCGAAAACATGCCGACTGCTGTCCATACTTGAGTTATAAATAACCTGGAGTGTAAACTATAACGTGTTATTTTCCAGTAATTGACTGAATAATGATGTTGCATGTTCAAATAGCTGTTTTCTTTGGTTTAATTGATTAATTTAATTGAGTTCTGCATGATACTTTAAAATTTACATTTGTACATTTTGCAATTATGCATCTAACATATGCACTTAGCTTTTAGACAACAAAGCCTTGACTGTGTTCCTACTGTATTTACTGTACAGTGCATTAGTGTTTATTCTGATTCATCTACTGGGAAGAAATGAGAGTGAAGCTGCTGACAGATACTGCACATGAACACACATCAGACTGAGATCCAGTTCATAAGAGCGTCTCTCAGTGTCCATGTGGGAAAATATGATGAAGTTCAGCATCCTTCATTTCGAAATCTCTCCCATTGTTAAAAGAACAAACTCACTTGAGTGCCATTTTGGGAGCTGAAGCTTCACAGCTCATCTTTCTGTTATTCCTCTCACATCTCTTTCAGCTGATTTAATGAGCTGCGAGATCCAGAGCAGACGCTCAGGCTGGAGAACAAATATTATTCATGTGTTTTCTGTGTTTGAGGACGTTACAAAGGCCTTTGCTGTTATAATCTGCTGGGTTTTGTGAGGAACAGTGAACTGGGCTTTTCCTTTACACCTAAATACACTGAATTTCTCTTGATGTAAAATAAAAAAGGGTCCTATTTGCTTCCTTAAATCACACTCATGTTTGCATTGAAATATTTGTCTTCATAATCTTTCATCAAAATATAATAACTCAAGCAACTACTTTTCTCTTCAGTTGACATCTTCTGGACTAAACGGGTTCTTGGTTAATGTTGTTAACCAATAGTCAAATCAGGGTTATCATTGGATGCAATAATCGCATGCCAATGTGCATTGGCTCGTTTAGTTTACACTCGAAGTAGATTGGTCTCTCTAAGCGAGATCCCAATTTCGTCGGTCATCCGACGTGACGTCGAGAGTGACCGACTGAAAGGGAACTAAAACTAAAAGCATAAAAAATTATTTACTTGACATAAAAGAAGTGTTAACTGAAATAAAACAATATTTTTATATTTATAATTATATTTATTTGTATTTTATATCTATTTGTTTATTTCAGTTTGAGTCATTTTAGTATTTCAACATTTTTATTTAAAATGTATTATTTTCGTTTAGTTTAACTTAACTAAAATAACTCAAATTAATTAAAAAACATTTAAAAAATCATTACTTGAAATTAAATAAACATTAAACTTTTCATATTTATTTAAATTTATAGTAATTTTAGTACTTCAGACTTATTTTATTTCAGCTAGTTGTCAAGGCAACATTTTTCATTTTCATTTAGTTTATCTTAACTAAAATGAATAATTAATAAACTCTAAAACCATAAAAAGTATTTTCATTGCTTGAAATTAAATGTTAACTGAAATAAAATTAAAAAAACTTTATATATTCTTTTAGTTTTAGTAATTTTAGTACTTCAGACTTATTTTATTTCATTTCTCATTTGCTCATTTAGTAAAATAACTAAAATGAATCATTAATAAACTCTAAAACCACAAAAGTATTTTCATTGCTTGAAATTAAATAAACGTTAACTGAAATAAAATAAACCATATTTATTTTAGTTTTAGTAATTTTAGTACTTTAAACTTATTTTTATTTAATTTTTCATTTTTGCTCATTTAGTAAAATAACTAAAATGAATAATTAATAATCTCTAAAACTATGAAAAACATTTTCATTACTTGAAATTAAATAAACTTTAACTGAAAAAAAAATAAAAAACTTTATATTTATATTTATTTTAGTTTTAGTTATTTTAGTACTTCAAACTTATTTTTATTTAATTTTTCATTTGCTCATTTGCTCATTTAGCAAAATAACTCAAATGAATAATTAATAATCTCTAAAATTATGAAAAACATTTTCATTGCTTGAAATTAAATAAATGTTAACTGAAATAAAATAAACCATATTTATATTTATTTTAGTTTTAATAATTTTAGTACTTCAAACTTTTTATTTTTATTTCATTTCTCATTTAGTAAAATAACTAGAATAATTAATAAAAACTATATAGACATACAGTATTTTTAAAAACTAAAACTACTAAACTACTTTAAAATTAAAATTAAATATTAAAAAATAAAATATTACAAAATATAGGCTATAATTTTTGTTAATATTTTGAATTAAATTTTTTATATATATTTTCTGATACTAAAATAGCACTGATATTGTTTTATTCTGCTGTTGTAGGTAATTATAGACCCTGAACATTAACCTGAGACACCAGAAATCATTGAAACACAGCAAACGTTTAAGTTGGAAATCAGTTAACAGGTTAAACCTGATTCTGTTCATTTCTCTCTCTTCTCTGTCAGGTGTGACTCGAGCCGAGACTCCGGTGACGGTCCGGAGAGTGACCCATCCTCCGCTGCGGCGTCCTTTAGCCGACTCCGCTCTGCTCCCGTGTGTGTTCACCCTGCAGGCCACCCTGGTCCCGGGACACGGCCCCTTCATCCACTGGAGCCGTGGCTCCGGAGCGCAGGAGAGGACGGTGCTGTCGGCCCGGGACGGGGTGGTCAGGGTGCACCAGGCGTACGCGGGTCGGGTCAGTCTGCCCGGATACTCCGCCAACCCACTCAACGCATCACTGGCGCTTTCCCAGCTCCGCTCCAATGATTCCAGGACTTTCCGATGCCACGTCGCCCTGGGAGAACATTATGAGCAGGATACGGTCAACCTGGAGGTCACAGGTGAGATCCAAACGGGCCGGAAATCATGGCGTAATGAACTGGACTGATTTAATATTTAATTATTGTTTGTACAGTAAACAGGTTGTGTGTGTGAGATCATGAAGACTTGAATTTGGCTTATTCAGTACTCAAATGTTATACCTATCTATGCAATACAGTGGAATACTGCAATAAGTTTAGTATACGACCCCTATTAATAATTTTTTATTTATTTATATATATTTTTATTATTAGGCTATTATTATTATTATACCCTCACTGGGGGCTGAGCCCCCCTAAAATGAAAATCCTAGAATCGCGACCCTGGCATTAAACATTTCAGGATCGATTATGGTCCTTACAAATAGTTTTCAGTAATTGAAATGAAGCTGAAATTAAAATGAAATATAAATATTAGGTGAGTAACTTTAAGGTAAAAATTTCTAAGAAAATTTGAAATGAACTGAAATAAGTTTAAACTGAAGTACTAAAATTAATAAAACTGATATTACAGTAGATAAAGTCTATATAGAAGTATTTAAAAAAATCTTTAAAAAATATTAAAAAGGATTAAAGCACATAAATTGCTAATACTTAAACTAAAATGTACATGAAAACGGAAAATATAAAAATAAAAGCTAATGCTAAATATGAATAAATACTAGTATACTGAAAATATAATTTTATTTTTAATTTTTTTTATTTATCATATTTTATACTATAATCTGTTTCTATGAAATATTTATTAAGCCTAGGAAAAGTACAGTAACCGCATCTTTATGTTAAATCATATTTAATATCAAATCAGCTCCTGTTCATAAATAATTATTAAAACAAACTCTTAATTTCTAGCTCGTTTACAATTTTTAAGGCAGTGTTATTTCTGTAGAGCTGATTTGATATTAAATATGATTTAACATAAAGATGCGGTTACTGTACTTTTCCTAGGCTTAATAAATATTTTATAAACACAGATTTTAGTATAAAATATGATCCTTGTTTTTGTTGACTGAAATAAAGTTGAAATAAACTAACATATAAATATTAGATGAAAAACTTAAACTTTCAGTCAGAAATTTCTGTGAAAATTAGATATGGACTGAAATAAGTTTAAGCTGGAGTAATAAAATTAATAACACTGAAATAAGAAATAATTAAGAAAAGCTTTAAGCAATAAAAATGTCAAAAGGACATTAAAATGACTAAAACTAGCTAAAATGAAAACTGAAAATATAGAAATAAATATAAATAAACACTCATTCAAAATATTAACAAATGCTGTAATAGTATATAAATAATACTTAATTGTAAACAAGAGCTGGAAATTAAGAGTTTGAATTTATAATTATTTATGAATGGGAGCTGATTTAATATTCAAGATCCGGTGTTATTGTACTTTTCCTAGATATTTTATAGCATTTCACAGATTTTGTTGAGTACACACATTGTTAATTGAAATAATGCTGAAATAAACAAAAATATAAATATTAGATGAAAAATGTAAAACTTAAACAAAAATTAGAAATGTTGCATTGGCAACTAAAATAAGTTTGAAATACTAAAATTACTAAAAATAAAACTGTAAATATAAATTAAATCTAAATTGAA